ATAGAAATATAGCTAAATAACAATAATAGATTTTTAAATTGTAGGACGATATGCTGATTATCATTGTATATAACTGGAGTTTTTTTCAAAATAGCTGCTTTGAGAATAATTTATCCCGTCCATTTCTGCAGTTGTGACGATAAAATGCTTTCCAGATGTCCGATTTCTCATGTTTTTTTTAGGATCATGACGCTTCGATTATTGTAAAAACTTTTTACGAAACAGCCTTAAAATTCTTCGTTCCTTTCACTTAGATTATTTTCAATTTGTCTTCCCGATTAAAATATTTATATAAAATTCTATGAAGTCGAAAACAGAATAATCCCTATCTTCATTTATCTTCCATCCTCCGAATTTTTTATATGTGCTTAAATAGAAAATGTTCATTGAACAGTTTATGAGAAAATATGAAAATGGGTAGATTTAAATAGAAAATGTTAGTTTATTATTATTATTTAATTGAAATTCCTTCGTTTGTAGCACTTTTCAGTAAAGATCCTCAACTTCATAAATGTAGTTTTACTTAAATAAATAAAGTAAAAACATTAATAACTAGAAAATTGGTTTAAAATTAATTGAATTAGAAAACGGTTCGATCGATTAAATATATTAATTACAGAACAATCATTATCAAAAAGAATCACGCAATTATTAGATTTGAATACATGATAATACATAAGAAATAAGCTGTTTAATTATCATTTCCTAAATATTGAAACTAAGATGTTTCGTTGAGACAAATTTTAATGAAATTGTGAAGCTTGTTAAATAATCAAATTTATTTTGACTGCTCTTATTCTTTTATTTTAGTAGAGTTAATCTATTAGAGAAACTAATACTTGTCTGAAATAATTAGGGAAAAATCATTCCAAATGTTAATTTAACTATAAATAATTTAAGAGCAGATAGATTTTTTTCTCTTATTTAGTTCAATATAATGAATAATAAAATGTGATAAATTAAATCGATTTGTTTTAGGAAAATAAAATTTCAAGAAAGAAATACTCCATAATTTGCCAAACAACGTAATCATCCTATCAATTAAGAAATAATCGAGTTTTATTAAATTTAATCTGAATAACTTATTATTCTATTAATGAATTTTAAATTCATTAATAGAATAATAAGTTATTCAGATTAAATTTAATAAAACTTAGAAAAAGAATGCGAATTTAATACTAATTTTTGATAAGCTACTTTCCTATAAAAATATATTCTAATCCATAGAAATAACAATTCCATTAATCCATGATCATCTTCTTACAATCATCATGATATTACAATCATCCATGGATCATGGATGATTGTAATATTATGGATGAATCTTACCAGATTTTTAGATCATAATATTATATACCCGAATGTCATGGAATGCTATTATTATTATTATTATTAGTCAATTTGTTGTTTTTTTAATAAATTAATTAGCCCCCATAGCTAATACTAATTTAAATACAAGCATAATAATCGCGTGTATATGTTACTCGTCGTTCATGAGTAATATTATAATCTTCCTGAAAATTTATACTTAAGAATTATTTGTATTCCTAGGATAACAGAAAAACTCAAAAGCCCTTGGAAGAATGTTTTAATAATAAGTAATACTCTAATAAAGCATGATTTTTTGTGAGTTTTTATGTTTGATCTAACCCCTGAAAGATTTCTTATAGATTAAAAATAAATTATTATTATAAACTACATTTTTAAAAATTTAATTCTTATTCTTATAATTTATATTAAAACATTCAATAATTTTAGTTTTATATTATTATAATATTTACTTCAAATGAATAAAAATTGATTTAAAAAATAAATTAGATAATAAAAATATAATTAATATATTTTTTATTTACCTTTTACATTCTGCATAACTATGGAGGAAAATTCTAGGAATGTTACTAAAAGATTTGATGGTGGTGTATGAACAGTACTTACATCAACTGCTGAAGGGTCTAAAAAATTAAAATTAATTTGAAAAAAATCATAAATATATAAAAATCTATCATTTTAAAACCTTTACTGAAAATAAAATCAATAAACAAAATAAAAAAGATTAATATGGTCAGTCCCTGACTTACAAACATTCATACTTATGAAAGCTAAAACTAATGTATTAAAAAATCATTTAAGTCTAAGCAGTCAGTTGCATGCAATAATAGCACAGTACAACAAATAAAACTTAAATGTAAAACTGTAATAGACAATAAACATGTTCTACATAACAATAACTATTAAATTTACAGGTATACTTCGACTTACGTCATTTCAAGTTACGTCGTTCCCGATTATACATCATTTGTCAAAAAAGTATATGGAAAAATGAAAATCAAGTTTAAGTCATTTTATTCGACTTTACGTCTGTCCGCCACAAATATTGAAGTCGTAATATCACTAGAAAAGCATTTAAAGCACATAAAATCATATTAAAATACAGTCGACCCCCTATAACGCGGTAGATACGTTCCGCATTATAAGAATTTCGCGTCATAGGAATCCTTAAATACGTGAGCCAATCACAGCCCGTCACGTGTGCAGTTTACGGACTATGACTGTTTGAAAGGTTTTCTTCCATAAAATTAATCGATTCCAGACTAATTTGACTCAAAATTTCCAAATTACATTTAATTTTTTGGGAATAATCCGTATNAATAATATTATTATAATATTATATATAAAATATAATATTATATTAATATTATAAATATTAATATTTTTTGGTCAGTAAACGGAGGGTGTATTTGCGTTAATTTACGAGATATAGGGAATCAAAGGTTACCAAAAATAGGTTGCTTTCGCAGCACCTGTCTTCTGTTGGAAAGCCATCTCTTAGTAATGTTAATGCAATCATAAAAAAATAAATAAATGTAATAGAATAACCAAATATCTTACTCAGCTCCTTAAATAATAAATCATCCAACACCTGATGCTGAGAAAAACGTTTATTTAAAGAAACATTAACGTTTTCGACCTAATATGATAGGTAATAGAATAATTACAAAAAAATACAAACTCAACAAGAGTTAAGGTGTTGTATAAAACTGAAATAAACGAAGACACGCGGTACGAAAACTCAATTTTATCAGTATTAAATAAATCTCGAGTTAGAGAAATCACAAAGAAAAACATTAATACATTACAGTTGCTTGAAAGTACTGTTTAAAGTTAGAGCCATTTACATTTTGACACAGCAAACAATGATTTAACAGAAATCTTTGTTGCTGTTGTTGTAAATCGTTTCTTGTACATGTTCAAAAATTTGAGATTTTTCTTGAATCATCCTGCTAATTCGACAATTCTAGAGCCTATTTAGCCAATTTACAGATCCACCTCTTTCTATCCATCGATCCGAACATGTACAGTACTTATGCTGCTCAGGTGCCAATTGTGCAAAATAAGCCGGAGCACCATTTTTCTGAAACCACGTTCTTTTCAAATCTAAAAGAAACATTTTCAAGCAATCCTGATAGCGCATGCTTAAGAAAAATAGCGTAAGTAGTTGCATGCAGCCGAAGAGGGGACAGGTTGGATCCAAGCAGAAAAATCAGCCAGAATGCCACTTCATACGTTGAATGTAAAACATGGTTGATATTTACGACTAAGCGTGGCAGCTTTGCATTGTATGCTTCCTCTCGAGGGAAAGACTGTTGTTAAACGTCGGCGTTTTAGAAGAAAATTATGGATGTTTTTTGCTTTGTTGAAGAAACCAACGAGTTGATATGAATTTTAAAAATTGTTTTCCTTGTGCTAATAGAGAATGATTTTCAAATCGTTGCAACACTTTCTCAAGTTGTGGGCAAACTGTCCGAGGGTTACTCTGTTGTCTATGATCGATTCATTTTCTCCCAATCGTCGATAAATTGAGGTAAAGACTGAATGAGGAAGACACATTCGGTTAGAAAATCGTTGATAAATTCGCTGTGCTTCTCTACTCTCTCATTAGAACTATCGTAATAGAAAGGTACTGTACATCAATAAGTTCAGCCAAGCTGCATTGTTCCATAATTAATGAAGTGCTAGCAATCTTCATGTTTTTAATGAAAATAAATTGTCACGTTTGTATAGCTTAACGAAAATTATTAGGGCGATACCATTTAATATTCAAAAGGAGAAAAAGTAGGAACTTAGAGTCGTTAAAAGTTTGTCTTTCCAGCAGAACACCGGACCTGCGAAAGCAACCTACATTCGGTTAACTTTGATTCCCTGTATCTCAAATTAACGCAAACTATAAGATCAAAATTGCTTACTATTACTTCTTATACCTCACCTCTAGCTCTGTCTACATAATTTGTGAGCATCCCGTATAATGTATTTTTCTGTAATTTACTTATTTTAATCTAGTTGTACTGTGTACAGTTAGTTCCTGCTGATTTATTACTGCAATTTCTATCTCAACAAGCACTTTCCCAGTAATAATTCTTGTTTAAAAAACCGATAAAGGCAATCATTCATGTTGAATGGATGGTCATCGTTTGATTATCGTATAACATGGATTGACTCATTCCAAAGTAGATAATCATCACTGGAACGTGACAAATAATTCTATGTTACCAAATCATTACAATGATATGTAGTTCGTTTGAAAAGTAATTCCTCGTTAATAGAAAGTTGTTTAACTTGTTTGAGTACCTGAGAATTGTAATTAAAACCAAACCAAGCAGGAACTGTTTAATGAAGATATCATTCAGTATCAAATTATCGCAGGCAAACAATAATAGAGTTATCAGTAAACGTTAATAACTGCTTAAAAGGATATTAATAAAGATTATACTTATATTAACATTAATTTTACGGCTTTAATTCAATTACTCTTTTGTTATTGTCATATGAATCTAAACAAACATTGCAATAAATGCTAATGTTTTTCTTTTATTTGTAGTCTTCGAGATAATGCATTGAAAATGACTTGTAAATTAAAGGATTTCGATTAAAATATTCTTTTGATAACTAAATAAAAGAGATAAAAGGAAAAAATTCAAGAAAATAAAATTTAAAAAATGTATATTTTAATTTGTTTTTTTTGTGAATCTTTCTCAGCTTGAATCAAAACTGATATTAATTCCAAAAATTTTTCTTGGTTAATTTATCGAAGCCATATTTAAGTCTATAAGAAAATATAGAAATAATAGAGAAATGAGAGATTGAAGAATTTCTCATTTATGTGTTACATTAAGATATGAAATATATATCACACAAAGCACCTTTATTTAGGAGAAGATCGTACTTATCGAATTAAAAAGAAATCGATGAATCAGTCAACCCACCATATTCCTCCGAATAAAAGGGCCAAATACTCGCTGCTTGATTACATTTATTCAGATTGTATCCAACTGTAAGAGGAACAAACGAACTTTTGAAAATAAATATTTAGAATAAAAGAGGAAATTTATTTAGACTCAAGTATAAATATTGACTTCTGTATAAAAATTGAATATTTTCGTCATATTTCTAAGAAACTGTCTTGCATAATTGGATTTCTTTTCTTTCTTTTTTTCTTCTTAACTTCAAAATTATCATGCGAATAAATTACATAATTACGAAATCGTCTACATTTGACGATTGAAATATTTAAATTATTAATATTTTCCTTGTTATCTTTATTATACTAACATTGATTTCCTAGAATATTAGATATGTAACGTTGATTTTTTAAAAAAGAAATAAACAAATACCAATAAGCTATAATAAATTAAATTGTGCTTACTTCTAACAGTTAATTGTTATTATTATTTTTTAAAAAATAAATTATTTGTTTCATCCGGCATTGTTGCTTTATTTCCAATTGTTTAATCTGATTTTAGATTTAAAAATAGATATTGTTACGGAATTTAGTTATTTTTCACATAGTTCTTATCGCTTGAAAATAATTCTAACTCGAAATGTAAAAGAAATGCTTCCTAAAGTAAGCAAAGGAAGCTTTTTAGTAAAAATTAATTCCGAAAAGTACTATTAAGAGAAAATATAGCGCTGTAGATAGCAGGAAAAAATTGCTAGTCAAATTATTTACTATTTGACTATTAAACTATTTAATGAGCTAACTTTGTATTTAAGTGAGTATAAACGTAAAAAAGATAGTGAGATCTGGCCGATCTGTCAAACAATATGTGGAAACTCGATTTTCCGAACTTGATGGGGTCAGGGGTCTTTAGTATAAACGAAATTTCGAATAATCTAAAAACTCGCTGTTTTGTGTGTTATGGGTACATCAAGTACTGTGTATTTAAAGTTTCGTGAACTCTACATACAGTAATGCAATTACTGTATTTGCAAAGAAATTAGGTTTTGAGTAAATTAGTGTTACGTATGTGACCTAGTTTCGCGGCGCTACAATCGAAGGACGACGTAGTAATTTCCAGTCGCGTAGAGAATTTAGTCTCTGTGTTTATATTCTGTGATATGTATTATATTTTTCGGATAATCGAGTTTCGACTGTAATACCATAGTTAGAAAAGAAGGCTCATGCAAATTAAATGGTTGCTAGGCATTATGCCTTTGAAATCTGATATTTACTATTTATTTTAAAAATCGGTATTTCGTAATACAATAAAATTATCTATAGTCTTCAATAAGAGAATAAAGTTTAATAATCTGTTTTAATAATCAACGAAATTTTAATTTACGTTTAGAAAGTTCAATTATCAATTGTGAGAATAAATTTCTTCTATCCAAAATGGCATATTTCTTCCAATATATAATTTTATGTACTGTACTGTACATCTGTACAGTACAATACTACATAAAATATTATTATTATATATATTTTTTAATTATTTAAATCATAAAATTGCCTTTTTCATATTCCAGATCCTCTCTAAACTCTTGAATATTAGCTTCTTCTTGAGAGAAGTTAATTATTAATCTTTATAAAATTGAGTGAATACAATAAAAATTTAATTAAACGATACAAACTTTTATTAATTTAAACAGCTTAATTTCATAGAATTTAGACAGTTCTTTAAAATTTATCTATAGCACAACTTTCGATATAAATCTGCTATTCAATACAATTGAATAAATTTTACTGTATTACGAAATATTGATTAGAATAAATTGTAAATAAATTATACAATATTACTGAGATTTAAGATAAAATTACTGTACAAAGCATTTGATAAAATAGGTTAGCACTTGGCCTATATTGTTATTAAAACGCCTGATAAATAATTGCATAATGACTTAATAATTTAATTTTTGATTATCTAAGCAATAATTCGGTATAGTTTGGGTCCAGTTCTATCAGGTGAAGTACATTAAACAAAGTTACCTTCGAATAATTTATTTGTAACTAAAGTCTAAAAAAAGTATATGAAGAATTGATTTATTTAAGTAGACTGCCTGTTCTGTATATACCTGTACTTCTAAACCGTTTGACCGATCTGGACTAAATTCTTCATAATTCTCTCTAGGACCTGCTCAAAATACAACTACCGTAAAACCTGAAAACTTCATTCCTCCTCCGATCTCATCCCTTGACACTTCGTGAAAAACATAACAATGAATGACTAAAATAACAAACGTTTAATATAGTTTTCATTTTAATTTTGGTCTTTATTTAATTAAAAATGGCTCTTAGATTATTTGAGAAAATGCAATAAATAAAATTTTAAAATTATTCGTTATTTATTTTATTTTTAATTTACATATTGCATCTAGATTCGATTGAAAACTGCAGCCAGATTTATCAATTTTTATTTATTTTTGATAATAAGTTTTTTGTTCTGTATCCATGCAGTCGAAATTGTGATGTGATTACCGAGTTTATAATGAATGTAAATAAAACAATTCGGTTCTTGGACAAGATTGCCTTTTAGAATAAGTTTGTGTTTAAGAGTTCATTAACCTTGAAAGAGTTTATCATTTTCCTTATAAGTCAATGAACCCATTTTGATAGTGGTAATTCTTATAAGTCATATTAAATCTTAAAAATCGTGTGTGTATGATATTAGAGTAAAATTTTAAGAATTTATCCGAAAATAATATAAATGAAAAGGTAAAGAAAAGGGTTGAAAATTAGTCTATTTTCAATTTGTTTTTTTAAATTTCTAAATATAGACAATTTCAAATGAATAATAAAAACCTGAATTTCAGTTCACTTCATAAATATTTTCATATAGAAAACACCCATTTATTATTAAACTTTATAAAAATGATCACGAATAATATCAGATTTTAGTCTTTATTTAAAAAAAAAAAAATTAAGACGTAAAATCGAATTTAATCATAACAAATATTGATATTATAATTTAGAATAGAAATATTTTAATATTTAATGTTACAGTTTGTATCAGAAAAAAACACTTTTTTAAAAATTTGTTGTTGTATTATTTTAATGAAAATTCTTGTTTTATATAATACAATAACATGAAAATTGGTAGAAAAAACGTCAATAATATTAAGTAAATATTTTTAAAAAATTGTTTAGAATTTTGCTTTAATATTTTAACATATAAATTAAAAATTTATATTATTAACTTTAAAATAATTTAAATAAATAAATTCTTATATATTATATCACTAGAGGGAGCCACACGATAAACTTTCAAAATTAGCTTAGCTCTGANAAAGAGAGAATATTTTATCTTATTTTGTAATAAAATTATTTTTTAATTTTTTTATTATTTTTTTAATTAAAATTTCAATAAGTTAAAAAAATATATTTTAATACATTTATCTGTTTTCAATAAAAATTACGTATACTGTAATTCAATTAAATAATACATAATTTAATTATAAACTGGGAATATTCTAATCCAAGGAGGATAAATAATTGACGTATAACATATCGAGACATGTCTATTAGTGATTCTGTTTATCTTTATTATTATTTATTAAAAATGAATTTTTATTCAAAATATAATACCGTGACTAATATTTAATATTTGGTTAAAAAATTCCCATATATTTTGCTTTACACGTGATACATAGTCTACTTCACGTGGTGACACATGCCAAGTACAATCAGACAGTTATCAGTTTCAGTCGCCATGATTAAAAATCATTCGATTTTTTTCTTTTAAAGATAAAATAAAATAAAAAAAACGTACGTATAAACGGATGATATCATTTTTGCTTCGTTGCACTGTGATTAAATGTTGAAGTTGAGTCAAATTACAAAGTTCAAGAAATATTAACTTCAACATCTTAGCTGAAGTGGATACAACGTGTTTCTTAATACGTGTATGAGTATATTGTATACACGCTATAATAAATATATATTCTATTTTTAAAAATTATTTTAAGGAATATTTCCCTAAAAAAGTTCACAAAATCTTGTAAAAATGAATGCAGAGTTGAATCCTTATATGGCAACATAAGAATGGGCATAAAATCGTTTTCCTCTTTGGTATGGCTGTGAAGAATATTGAAATAATTTTTAATATATATTGTTTATTTGGTATTTATTCTATACAGGCTGCCATAATTTAAAAACATTTTATTTTAAATAGAAGGAACAAAGTCTGATTTGGATTCGAAGATTTCTCAGCGATGTGCCATTTGTGGAGATAAAGCTACAGGAAAGCATTATGGTGCCAATAGCTGCGATGGGTGCAAAGGTTTCTTTCGGAGAAGTGTTCGCAAATGTCAGAAGTATAGCTGTCGTTATGGCAAAAATTGTGTGATAGATAAAGATAAAAGGAACCAATGCCGCTATTGTCGGTTTAAAAAGTGCTGTAAAGTTGGTATGAAGAAAGAAGGTAAATTCACTTTTGTGCAAATTTTACTACTTTTTTAAATAATTAAATGTTTAATTTGATATATAGTTTACTGGTTTTTCACTTCATTATTCAATATTATATAATATATTATAAAAGAAATGAAAATACTGATTTTGATTTATGGTTAAAATAATAGCTTTTAAGATAAATGAAATCAAAATTTTACTAAGATAAAAAAAAGTCAATAAATGAATTTTTTACGATGTATTTTAATTTTATTAACATATTATTAAAAAAAATAATAATGATGTAAATATTTATCGACAGCCGTCCAAAATGAAAGAGATAGAATAAGTAATAGGAGACCTTCCTATGAAGATGCTCAAAATACAGGATTGACTATTTCAGCGTTAATCGCCGCCGAAAATATGGTATGTAAAATTAATTGTTTAATCTTAAATCGTAAACTTTTACGACATTTTTGCATAAATCATTTGCAATTGTAAGTTAATTAATTTTTAAAATAAATCAGGACATTAATACTTTTAACCATTAATTAATGTTTTTATTTCATAGCCAAGATCTATATAAATATAACTACTGTACTTTCAAACTAAAATATAGGAAAACACCAGGTCTGACGTAAAAACTGTGTAGCTAACTCGCGCTATGACAATAGAAGTGACGATATTACCGATGTGTCAATGATTAGAACACGATGCGCTTAAAATGATCCATTCGTATTTGGTAAAATGACATCATTTAAATTCAGGATATGGATTGTCGAAACGATACAAACCTTCCGGGTCATCAAGCGTTGTCAAGCATTCTGATGAGCCAGTGGCGCAATATACTGATGTAAACTCATTGTGTTGTGTGAAATTAACGTTATCGCTAAACAGCAGATCAGGTTTCAGTTATAAGATAGAGTATAAATTCAAATACAGATTTAAAAACTTGTTGCATTCGTATTCATATTATTAATTATTCGTGAACAATAGAAAATGTGGAATTTAGAAACAATCCAGATTTCTTTACCTGACCTGTTTCTTAATTTAAATTATTTCCTTTTAATGAAGTACTGTACAAGTCTTCCACATTTTAATAATTATGTTAGAGTTGTTAGGCCAATTACTCTGCTCTAAATTATTATTCATAAGTTAACACGGTAAAATATTACTAAAATTAACGACTGTCTGAAGTATTAAACTGAATTTTATGTTGGACTGTACCAAATTCTGCACTTATTAAGTATGACATAGCTCGTTTCGTATTTTAAAGCGCACGCTGGTACTAGTTATTAAATATACATTATAACATTTAACATCTACAGGAATTATTTCGAATAACTTTCTCATTTAAACTATACTGTAAACTATATATTTATGCTCGAAATGCGTGGTCCAACGTTATACAGATAAACATGTGACCGTGATTACATAGGATAGACAGCCAGTCCGAATTATCTACATTCCAATTAATGGATGTATATTCGTATAATAATTAGTAAATATATATATATATATATTTACTAATTATTATACGAATATACATCCATTAATTGGAATGTAGATAATTCGGACTGGCTGTCTATCCTATGTAATCACGGTCACATGTTTATCTGTATAACGTTGGACCACGCATTTCGAGCATAAATATATAGTTTACAGTATAGTTTAAATGAGAAAGTTATTCGAAATAATTCCTGTAGATGTTAAATGTTATAATGTATATTTAATAACTAGTACCAGCGTGCGCTTTAAAATACGAAACGAGCTATGTCATACTTAATAAGTGCAGAATTTGGTACAGTCCAACATAAAATTCAGTTTAATACTTCAGACAGTCGTTAATTTTAGTAATATTTTACCGTGTTAACTTATGAATAATAATTTAGAGCAGAGTAATTGGCCTAACAACTCTAACATAATTATTAAAATGTGGAAGACTTGTACAGTACTTCATTAAAAGGAAAGAATTTAAATTAAGANCATTATTTTAAATTCATCTATACTGTATTTAAATATATTAAGAATGTATAAGAATTTCTTAAGTAATTACAGTAAAAACTGTGTTAGCTTATTCAGAATAATAATTTTTTAATTGTTAAATAAAAATTTAAATTTAAACTTAATAAAAAATTATTATAGAAATTTTTAATAAATAAAATAAGAATATAAAGACCGAATTTTTTTTCCAATCAATTAATAGGAATCAATTAACTTTGATAAATAAAATTTAGCAAATTATTATTAAAATTTTCCTTTACTTTTGTGTTTTAGCAGCCAGAATATACTACAGGAAATGGCCTAACGGAAGCTATGGCTACAGCTGTCGATATATGCAATTCTATAAACGATCAGCTGTATTGTTTAGTAAATTGGGCCAAACAACTCCGACCATTTATAGAATTATGCATTGAAGATCAGGTGTGTTTTTATTTAAAATCAAATAGACTTCTATGGAAGAATTTCATAATGATTTTAAATACGTTTGCTTTAGACAGCTTTGATGCGATCTCATTCGGGAGAGAATTTGGTACTGGGATTGGCTCGGAGATCTATGAACATGAAAGACGTACTTTTATTTGGAAATCACTTGATCATCACCAGGGATGCAGCTGATCCGGTGGTTAACAGGATCGGATGCAGAGTCATGGATGAATTAGTCAATGTTTTCAGGGAGATAGAGATTGATAATTCGGAATTTGCTTGTTTAAAGGCAATCGTATTTTTCGATCCGAGTAAGTTAAGATTTTAAACAAAGTTATTTTTTAAAAATTAAACTTTTCTTAATTTTTTTTCTTTTGATATATATACAGTGTGAACCATTAAGGCTCTTTATATCTGAATTTTAAATACTTTTAAAGTATTGAATGCATTTTTAATATGAATTTTTATTTCTACATTATGAAGAAATTGTTTCATTTATCAAGTTACTATATTTATATGAAATATGTTAATAAAGTATACACGTACACATACCAATACATATATATACTATATTCAAGTTATCTGAATAGTATTTCATATAGGCTAATTCTTTATAATAATATTATTATAAATTTATTAACTACTCGGGAAACAATTTACCTGATACTTATAATTTCTTTTATGGATTATATGTGTAAAAATATCAGTATAAATGTGTTAACAATTTTATAAGAGATAAATAATGAACTAGACAATATAAGAAGATGATTTTCCTTCTTGAAATATTTTAGAAAATCCATGAAGTAACGAATATTTATGTAACGTAATTCTTCAGGTAGAATTTTCTTTTGCGATTTTATTTGATATTACTTATTTTCGTATCGAAATGCCAATAAAGCCAAAGTAAATACTAGAAGAAAAAGTAGTTATTTGAAGCACATTTGTCTATTTTGAAAAAAAATTAATGCTTATTTGCACTGCAGAGTATTTATCGTTTATATAGGATTATAATAAATGCAATTCAAATAATTTCAATATTCGCAAGTACAAGTAGACAAGATAAATATCTTTTCTCTGCATAACGTCAAATTCCAGGATTCCAGTACAAGATAAGATTTTTTGTTGTATCACGAAATGGAGAAAAGTATTATATTGATACAAAGTATAACAGGATAAATTTCTCTTAAGGCAAATAAGCTTGTAAGTCATTTCAAAGTATACATTTGTTTATTTTAATTAAAAAAATAAATAAATAAATAAAATTAGCTCTTGATATTCCTGCATAGAAATATATTACTTAACAAACTAGAGATAAGTTTGTTTTAAATTATCATCATCTTATCAGAAAGTTGTGATCTTTTCAAAACATCCTTTCAAGAAAATGGAAAAAGAGTTCATATCTTTTTATTTCCTTTATTAAATCGATAATTTTGTAAATACAAATAAAATTTTAAGCCGTAGAACACGTTAGAAATATAGTTTTACGTAAGTAAATCATATTCATGTGTATGATACCCGTGTTTGTGTGTACATACGATATTAAAATTATACTAAAAATCGTTTAAAATTATCCAATTATATTTTATATTACAAATAATAAAATAATTTTTAATTAAATTTTAAAATGCTTAGATTATTACGAGAAATCAATCTTCTATCTCCATATCTTTGAACGGAAAATTAAATTTTATAAATTAATTTTTTTTTAAAAGAACTTACTAAAATTTTTAAAAATGCTTTAAAAATTGAGCTTATATTAAATATTAATTATTTAAATAATATTAAAATCTTATTTCACAATTGGAACACCCGATAAACATAAAATTGAAAAGATATTTGATATACTCCAGAGAATATCGTAATTTTCATGCTAAAATAATTAACTAATTTAGTGTTTATATGCAGTAAGTAATAAAGACTTTTATGAAGGAGATACTTTATTATTAAATTTCTTAATTGCCAACAAAAAATAAATCAGATTCTTTTAACTCCTAATTAATTTTCAAATTCATTTCGACGGTGTTATTTCTCATAAATGAGTTTATTTCATTAAATTTTCTAAACATTGCAGAAAGAATTTCTTTATTTTTTCCGCATCGTTTATAATTCACAATTTGATATCATTTATGAAATAAAATTGAGATAAAATTTAAGAGATGGATTTAAAAAGTTTTAAAATATTATTAATATTTTAAAACTTGATCTTTTAAGATTGTTAATATAACGTTATAGAAAACTAATAAGTCTATTTGCATCTTAATATTCTTAATCCAACTTGTCACGAAAACAGGGCATTTGCTATTGATTATATGAAACTGAAAGCGTCCATCATAAGACTGTTAATACAGACATCGATATTAATCAAATCCAATTAGCATGCATCAAATTCTGTTTGAATGTAATTATAATTGTTATGTATACTGACTGTTCACAGAAGTCCTCGTGTTTTCTTACTTACACAAAACAGATCGAATGTTCCTTAAATATTCACTAATCTTTGCTTTCAAAGGCGATTAGCTTTCGTCTATATTGTTAAGTATAAATAATTTATTTTTTAAAATTTTAAAAAATAACGCTTTTATTGGCCATGTTTTTCGAGATTAGGGAGGTGGATTTATTTTATTCATATTTTTAAAAAGAAAATAATTAGCTTTTTCTTAATCGTATTTATTTCTTCTTTATCTTGAATTGCTGAAACAACTTTTTCCTTCAAAATTCCACACGCTTTATATTTCTAGCGNATGAAAAAAAAAAAAAAATGTATTCAAATTCTGTGTTTTCAAACACTTATTCATCTTCAGAAATGTAAAATAATTCAAATATCTGATAATAAAGGAGTTGTCATAGCAACTGTTTCTGTATTTTTGATTCAAATCATTTTAGATATCCTTAAGATGAACAAAGATATTCAAAAATATTTAAATGAATTTTCAGTAAAATTTAGATATTATTAATATTTTAAAAATTGATCTTTTAAGATTGTTAATATAACGTTATAGAAAACTAATAAGTCTATTTGCATCTTAATATTCTTAATCCAACTTGTCACGAAAACAGGGCATTTGCTATTGATTATATGAAACTGAAAGCGTCCATCATAAGACTGTTAATACAGACATCGATATTAATCAAATCCAATTAGCATGCATCAAATTCTGTTTGAATGTAATTATAATTGTTATGTATACTGACTGTTCACAGAAGTCCTCGTGTTTTCTTACTTACACAAAACAGATCGAATGTTCCTTAAATATTCACTAATCTTTGCTTTCAAAGGCGATTAGCTTTCGTCTATATTGTTAAGTATAAATAATTTATTTTTTTCTCTATTGAATATTATCAAGTGTACATACGTTCAAATTTTACTTAGGGTGTTGACATTTATCTTTACGTTAATAATCTGTAAAACTGAAGGATTTGATAATGTTATGAATTGTTCTGTTTTTAGAAAATGTTTTTAAAATTTAGACGTCCTTAGTAAAACATCCAGCAATGAGTTGCTTAACTTTCCCGGTAATATTTAAAACTGCGCGTGTGGCGTCATCTGTTATGATATTTTATTTTAAAAACTTTTTATATTTTTAATTATTATACAATGCCAAACAACTTAATTTTGAGGGTAGTGAAAAATTTTATAAAAAAAATTGTAAATGCTAAAAATGAATAAAATTGTCATTAAGCCCGGTCCTACTCGAGATATGACACACGATCCCCTTTATCTCCCAACTCCTCCAATCTTTAACCACCAAAATTTAATAGTATCAATCCCTCTAATACACAAACATTCCTGCAAAATTTCAGAAATTTTCGACAAAAAGCACATGAGTTATTAAGCTTCAAAGAGGGTGAACAAAATCGTACCCCTCACACTAACATTCATACATACAGAAAAAGCCTCGAACTCTTTTGCATTTCTGGACGTTTCAAAGTCATCTGAATCCAAAAATGTAAATATTTGAGGTCAATTTTTGAACGATCGCCATACTTTCAGAGGGAAAGTAATATATTTTTTTTTCTGCAAAAAATTAAATAAAGGTCTATCGTTAATTAAATCACTTTGTAAGTTATTCTTTTTCAACTGCTGTTAAATTCGATTATTGAAAAATGATTTAACAATTAGTTAATTTTCAAACAAAAATCTAAAATAGACTTTCTTTTCCATTATTTTTGTATTCAGATGACTTCGAATTTCGCTCATTTGGTGATGTTACTCTGATTTATTATTTCTATATCTTATCTATCTGTCTCAAAATTCATCTCCTCTTAACTGCAAGAGCAACTCTTAAATTAATGACTCTCCTGAGAATTGACCGGAGAATCGTTTTACTTCCGTAATTTATCACTTATTAAAAATTCAAAACGTATTTCTGAACTTATGAATAAAAATATAAATAAAACTGGACTTAAGCAACTCCGTAACATAAATTATTCATTTTACTTATTATAAATCAATATTTCAAAAAATATTTTTAAATTTTTAGTGTAATTTATATAATTTTATATTGTTCTTAAATGTCTACATTAATTACACTAAATTAATTAAATACAAGTGAGATTTGTGCTTTGAATTCAAAAATAAAATATCATATTTATTTTGCAATCACTTTAGAAATTAAAGTATATTAACAGTGTTAGCAACTGGAAAAAAATGCGTTATTTTACACATGTGTAACATTCATAGCTTAAATATTGTATAAAATTCATATGTGCATACAAATGGAGGCATGAATTACACTATCACTATACTACAGAAAATAGTTGAAATTTATGCCATCAAATAAATCAGTGGGAATATTACAGCACCTAAAATAATTTAGATAAGTTATAATTTATTTCAATATTCTGTTATCTTTCTCTCCCTTTTTTTTAAAAATCAATTCTCAAACTTGGTTGTAAGCTTAAAGGAAGCTTAACTCATAATGGGTATAACTAGCTTGAGGATTTAACATATTAATGTATTAAACTTCAAAAATTTAGAAGATTTTACAATTAAAATATGCAGTAAATATTTCAGATTTTCTATTCCATGGGCGTAGCCAGAGTTTTGTTATGGGGGGGCCTAGTGGAGGCCAACCTGACACAAAATTGAATTATTTCAAATTATTGTTCATTATTGGGCACCGAGCAAGCCGTTCACCTTTTTTTAGTATTCAAAACTTTTATTTTAGCTTTAGGTGTTTACAAATCGACTCAACACTTTTTCGGCTGTGATTTCCTGGGGGGCACCAGGTTCCCTGGGAGGGGCCGTGCCCACCCAGGCTCCCCCCTCGCTACGCCCATGATTAGAATATACATAATTTATAATGTTTACTGTCTAAATACTTTATATTAATTTTTATTTGTATATGTAGATGCTAATGGTTTGAATGATATCAAAAAAGTGAAAGTTATACGACAGCAGATATTATCCAATTTAGAGGATTATATAAATGATCGTCAATATGATTCGAGAGGGCGATTAGGAAAGATTTTGTTGACGTTACCGTCCTTACATAGCATAACGATGCAGATGAAAGAACAACTTCAAGCAGTTAAATTAATTGGCTTACCTAATGACGATCGCCTCATTCAAGAATTATTGCTTGGAGGTAAGTCGTTTATTTTTAAGTTTTTCGTTTAGAACTCATCGCTACTTATAATGAACATAAAACTAAACTAATTTTCGGAATTTAATTTAGGAAAAATATTTATATTTGTGGAAATCTTACTAAAAATAACTTAAAAAAACTGAATATTTGATAAGAAACTTATTTAATAATTAATAATGTTGTATGTAAATATTTACGAAAGATTATTTTTAATCCGGTTATTAAATATTTATTTTGTTCAATTATTAATTTTAAAATTGACTTTTATTATAATACTTTAGTTAATTTTTACAGATTTTTATTTTATTTTTGCTAAATTATTTATTTTTAAGAACTATTACATACTTTAAAATATCTGTAATATCATTGTAATAGTATTTTTACAGAAGCAACTTTAAAATACATCTTAATTTTAAAATAACAGAATATAACCTAAACCTTTATCGATAATAAATTTAATTATGTGACGAGTCAGGAGATGATAATCGACATCATCTGATTCGTGAAGAATTTATTGTAACAGCTACTTGGTTCACATGATTTATGAAACAATGATATAGTTACTAAGAGTTCGAGATCTATAAAAATTTCATTCATATGGAACGGAACAACTGATAAATGAAGACAATCATTGTCATTTCAATTTAGTATCATTAATATTTTTATGAAGCTGACTCCTAGTTGCTAGTCTAGGATTTAGCTTACTACTACTACAGTACTACTATTGAATACTAGGCAGTAAGATATTGAGAGAAAGAAACCATAAATTTTGCTATAAACAAACAAGTTTCTTTTAATTTATATAGAATTTTCTTAATTTTACAATATATAATTAATTATAATATGTTTATATTGAAAATTTAGTTGACAGAATATAAAATTTCTTAAATAATTGGTTGTTCTGTGATGTTAATATCTTATTTTAAATCTATTCCTGGCTTTATAAAAAGTATTGTATCGATTATAATTTTATAAAGTCCGCTTGAATAAGTTTGACTAAGATATTAGATTTAAACGGCGACAAAAGCGATAATTTCGCTTTAATGAAATATTCATAAGTCTATATTAAATAGTTTATTACAGCACTTATAATTATTATTTAAGAGACTAATTTGCACATCTTAACCCAACTAATATAATTAGATAATAAACTTCATACAATCCAATAGGCGTACGTAGAATCTCAAATTGTTGATTTTAATTAAAATTTAATTGAATAATTCTTTTAAAAATAAATTCTCAACGAAACTACTCTCATTTGAAATTGTTTAAAGTTGTATTTACGTTATACACTTGTTCGGGGATTAAACCATTTAGATTATTCATCTCTTGAGAATTATATTTAGTTTTTTCAAATAACAATATTTAAATTTCAATATTTTTCAGGGAATCCAACGTTTTCGTCTACGCAGCCACATCATGCCTTAAGCGGAGCAATCCCGACAGAAGATATGACTTCAATCAAACCAAACGGCTTCTTTATGAATGGCAATTCTACCGAAGTGGATGAAGTATTCTCATTGACTGATGACTCTTATCGTCTACAAACGTTAGGTCAACCGATACAACAATCACAAATAGCATTTAAGCAGGAAATAACGGATAACTTCTCGGAAAAGTGCCAATTCTTGCAATAGAGATCATTCATTGTCAACTGTTGGATGTCCGGAGACATCGTTTTTAAAGAGGCCATATTGGTCATTTTTTTTAATCGTATAATTCTTGCATTCCTGATTCTGCATTTACAAGCACTTAATAAACAATAATAGTACAAAAGAAAGTAGATGAATTACTTAAAAAAAAGGTTCAAATTTATATATTTCTCGAGTATAGTAGAGCATTGATTATCCGATTGACTATAATGGATATAAGTTCACATCAAACTTTTTAATAATTAAATCAAATTTCAAATCTTCTTTAGTTAAATTTTTTATATTATTATTATTATCAATATTTTTATATACTTGCTAATGTTTTTTAAATTGAATGTTACCTCTATAATGCAGATAATCAATTCTCTATTATATCTTGATTTAAATTTTACATATTAATCTTTGTAAATATATATTATTTTTTATTATTCATAAAAATGTTTGGAATTGTTACGATAGAGTTAAATTTAAATACGAAAATACTCTAATATTTTATTATTGTTTTTTATTTTTTGAAATAAAGTTTGAATTCTATTCTTAGTTTTTCATTGATTAAATTATCGAAATTTATAATAAAATTAATTCTTTAATACTTTTTTTTCTAATTTTCTCGGGTATATATAAATAATTTCGGGTTATCATCATGGCCATAAAAAAGTCAAATTTAATAATTTTATATTTAAGTAAAATGTTTAGAAATTGGCTAAATTCGTTCGTCAGATTCTCCAAATATTTCCGATAATTTATTTTTCGGCTTGTAACTAAAAAATGTAGTTCCAAAATTTCAAAGAATTCCAATATTATTTTTCTTTTTTTAAATTGCCAACTATTTAAAAAAAGAAAGAAAATAAATAAATAAATTTTGGAAAAGTTTAAAACGATTAAACTATTTTAAAAACAATTTTTATTGTTAAGCAACTGATCCGGGTCTAAAAATTTATAAAAATAATAAAAATTTTATGGCTAAAAACTATAAAAATATAAAATATATACGGTTGCATTTACAACATTTTATTCTATCGGAGGCACGTTTTCTTTAAAGAAAATATTATATAAAAATTGATAAAAACATATATTTTAGGCGTAAAATATTTTCATAAATTCTGAAATATGTAAGAAAAATGTTTAATATTTTAATAAAATAAATAATTTTCTTGAGAAAAAAATTTATCATTTAATGTAGTAAATTATTCAGTTTAAAATATTGAATTACACAATTGATTCTTTTTTAAAATTTCTATTTTGTCGATATTATTAGACTAGATTATTATTTTAAAAGAAAATGTTTCTTGAGAAAAAATCTTTTATTTTAGATCGGTTCACACGGTAAGTGATTCCAAATATGATTTATATTCGAAATATTATAATAAGAAAAGTATATTATTTTTGTTAAACGTTTAAAATATCCTAAGAACGTATTGTTTAATATATATATATTTATTTATTTATTTAATTTTCTGATTCTTTTGATCATTTTTTAAAGTCAATTTATTCAAAGGCATATGCGATAGGATTTTATTTCTCAAAGGAGAATTATTAACTTATTTGATACTTCATTAATAACAACACAAAATTTGACTTTTTATTTGTTTTTCTAACAATAATGGTCTGAACGCAAATAATTAATAAGATAAATCAATAAAAACGTCAAGTAAATAAAGATTATTATTTCCCTTTTAATTATCTTAAGTAATTATATGGGTTTTATTAATTGGAAAATAATTGCAGTAATTTTCTTATTGGAATATGCAAGTATAATTATAAGTTTACTTTTAATTTATTCAGTCATTTTTATATGTAGTCTGAAAACGTGACTTGGATTTATTACTTTAGACTGAATGGTTTATAAATATTTTTCGGCGAAAAGAATATAAATTCTAAATATTACATCATAAATTAAATTATTTATATATATATATATATTTTTTAAGAATAAAGCCATTTTTAATAGGAAATCTCAAATTTTTTTTTTTTTGTTAATTTTGTAAATGATAATTAATTTATAAATTAATTGCGCTAAAAACATGTTGTTTGTGTCCGTTTTTGTCCGTTATTCATCTTAAGTTTTGTGTCCGTTATTCATCTTAAGTTTTATTTTTTCCTTTTCTTTATTTATTTGATGGAATTTAAAAACAAATTAAATTAAAAAATGCTTTGTAGGGAAGTAATATTAAATCAATTTATATAAGCCGTTGAACGCTTTAAAATTACATTTTTTCACTTGTACAGAGCACGTTTCAAATTTTCGTAAAGAATTAAGACGTTTATATAAATTTATAACATCAACAAACTTATGCATTTAATAGCATAATATCAAATATCCAAAAATGTCATTCTGTAATATACAATATATATAATCATGTTAAAGTTGGCTGGACGACGTTCAGGGACTATAAGTGACTTCTACTACTACGAGGGATTTTTATTCGAATCGAATTTTCCACGGATACTTAGGGAGAGATGTAGGTAATTCCTCATCTGTCATTTTTACTGGCTAGCAGCATTGAAAGTCGGGTTTTGTTCCTTAATGGACAAAAGCGAACCAACTGTATAAGCCATTGTGAGTTAGTAATTCACGTAACATACCCAGTTGTGTTAAAGGAACTTTAATCAGTTCGGGAGGGGGAATTACTTCAACATTATATTAAAAAATAAAATAAATAAAAATTATAAAATAGAAAAAATAATTTCTTAAAATTTTATAAATTAGCAAATTTCAGTTAAGGCATTAAAATTTAAATATGACGAATGAATTTAAGAATTTAAAAATTTTTAAATTCATTCGTCATAATAGATAAGCCTATGTTTAACAATACGAGAAGTAATTAAAGAAAATATTCTATAGAATAATTGTAAAACAAAAATTTAACGGTTGAAATAAGTATTTAATATTATTCGATAGTGTTAATTACATACATTAATATAATAGACATATACATTATATTGATTGAGTTAATTCACAAGAAACAATATTAAGCATAGTCTTTTAACTATGTCTGTAAATTTCCCCTGAATAACCGACAGAATAAATATATTGGAAACTCACATATAATGCCAATATTGTCGATATTTATGTGTTATGCTGTCGATACTATTCACGAACAATATCGACAGAATGAGACAAATAGTAAGGAAAAAATGATGTAGGATACGATGTAAAATAAATATTTTCTGATGTTTTAGCAATATATAGGCTATATTCCAAAATTAAATATATGTATATAAACATTTGATGAATATTTTTATGTACTGTATACTTTTTACATATTTATATATACTTTGAATAACTATAAAAGAAAACAAGTAGGTCTATATTTAATATTTCCTATCTATAACTAATTTTTAAGTACTAAAATTAAGTAAATAATATAATAAATTTCATTAAAGCGTACTTTAGAGAAAACAGAGATCAACAGAAGTTTAAAAAATAGCTATTCAAAAACTAAATTTATGTTTTCTAAAGCGAAACACGCGATGTGTCATTTCTGTTCTCGAGTTCTGACATTGCTATGTCATAATCGATTCGTCTTCTCAAAATAAAAATTTTACGACATAATTTTAAATAAAAGCAAACAATTCCATACGTTAATGTATAAAATATACAAATGTTGAGTGTAAAAACCTTATAAAATGACCAGAAAAATATTTTATGAAAAATTCTTCAGTTTAATGTTAATCGTTACGTGTTTAGTCTATAAAAACAAATAATATAGAAATAATTTCTTTTTCTAATTCAAAATTTATATAGAAATAAAATTTTATAAGTGATATTAGGTCTGGGAGGATTTTACTGATATGTGAGTATTATTCAGAAGATACTAAACGACAGTCTCGAAGTTATGGCAATGAATTTCTGCAATGACAAAAAGATTGTCTTTAAATAAAATGAATCTGATAGAATTATTACTTATTCACAAATAATAAATATACTGTACTTCCAATGCCAAAATGATAGAATTAAATGCCAATATTCTGCATTAATTGGTGCTGATGGTTAAATTTCAGCGTAGGCCTCGATTTTGTTCACTCTCTTTGAAGCTTAATAACTCCTGTGCTTTTTTTTTATGAACATTTCTGAAATTTTGCAGGAAGGTTTGTGTATTAGGGGGATTGATGATATTAAATTTTGGTGGTTAAAGGTCGAGAGGTGAGGAGATAAAGGGGGTCGCGTGTCACATCCCAAGTAGGACTGGACTTAATGACGATTTACTCTTTTTTTAGTATTTACAATTTTTTTTATAAAAGCTGTTTGCCATTTTTTATAATATTTTAAAATATTTAAAAATTCTTTTTAATCATATCATAACAGATGGCGCCACTAAATGTTACCGGGAAAGTTAAGCAACTCCTTGCTGGATTTTTGTGTTAAGCTGTGTCAACTAGTAGTGCAAGGACATCTATTCAAGAATTAAAATTTTTCTTTTTAAATTATCATGTACTGTAACAATAAAAAGCTTGTGTAGTGATTACATTTAAAATTGTTTTTGTTTTAGAATAAATATTTTAAAGTTATTATCATTCTTAATGCGTCAATTATTAGTGTCTTTACTTTACCATTTCACTGTATATCATGTAAACCTAATATACGATTCTAAAAAAAGTTTACAATTTTATAATACGAAAGGATATTGTGAATTTCATAATAATTTAATGATAATGAATTTTTAAATATACCGATTGAACTGAATTCCACGTACTGCTGTTTATTGATGATTGCATTTGGTCGAATAGTCTACAAACAGCTTGACCAATACTAACTTGTAAGAGAGTTAATAGTAGAAGTTACATAAAAATGGGACAAGCTTATTGGATATCGATCTCTATCAAGACTAAACTATTGAAAAATTCTAAATAATATAAAAATTCGTCACATTAATTTCGATATTTCAATGAAAAATGATTATGCGAATTGCTAATAAGGAATTAATGCATATTTTTGTGATCTGTTAGTACAGTACATTAAACTTTCTATTGTTAATTAAATTTACTTTTGCAAATTAAATCAGTATATTGACTGTGTGGTACCAAAAAGTATTTTAAAATGCATTAAAAAAGTTCTGTAAAATTCTATATGTTCTGAATTTGCTAATTTTATTATCAAATATTTACATTACCAAAGAATTTTCTTTAACTAAAGTAAAAGGAAATAAAAACCAATAATTACTGTCACTTATCAAGTTGATAAAAAATTAAACGTAAGAAGTCGAAATAATTATTATGTGATAATATATTTTATGTAATGCAGAATTAAGACAACATTAAAATTGCCGAGAAAGACGGTACAGAAATTCAAACTGCAAATTATTATTATTATTTTTATTTTTAACTTTCTCATCTTAAATTACATGTAAATTTGAAGGAATGAGATAAAAATCACCGTCTTTA